TCTCTCTATGAGCCATTTTGATATGGCCTAAGAGAACCACGAAAAACGCGTGTTTATTCATCAAAAAGATTTAGGGATATTAACTACTTTAAATGAACATTCCTGTAACAAACGTCTCGGTTTTAATGTACAAAAATGTTGTGTAAATTGTTGCCACATTTTTAGAAATTGTACCACAAATGCGAATAACAAGCGTAAAAGTATTAGAGAGATATTATTTAAACAAGTAATTAAAACGGTTTAACGCACGTATAACAAAGGACTTAACTTTTGTCGAGTATTCAGCAAGCTAATTTCCCATAACAATCCGTCGTCGGTACTTAAACCGCCTGTTTAGGTAGACGGTGAAGCAAGTAAACTAAAGAAAACATGCGACGGTACATGAATATAGAAATACAAGATCAAAGAGACGAGAGGCTTACTGTTTTACGAGCACGGAAGAACATATCATAATAAACCAAATAAAAAACACATACACAGAGAGTATTGCTTATGTACTGTAGATGCAAGCGGTACTTTTCAATAACCAGCAGAGAATGTGATAGTGGCAAAATTTTCCATATATTTCTAATAATATCAGATGCGTAACACGTGTAATGCAAAGTTTTGTGCAAAAGCAAACATTGTTTCTATATTTTCAGAATTCTTCGACAGAGAAAAGATCGTACATTCGATATAAGGAAGAAAATTGAAACGAACTAAAAGATTAAAGATCACATCTAAAAAAGATTACGTTGCCGAATTTCTCTTCCGGTTTAAAACTGTACGCGCGTATAAATAAATCTTGAAAAAGATGTCTTTCCCGAAATGAAAGGAAAGGCCGACCACGTTAATTGGTTTGCGACGGAGTCTGTGACGGCAACAAGCCATTAGGATGTGCTTTTCTAGGCGCTACCACTTCACATAGAGATAATATTTTGATGCGTGGCCGGCGTGTGTGTTTGTGTGAATGTGTAGAACCGCGTACGTAAGTCGGCGTTTAGGCTACCTTGTGCAAACATGAAATTTCGATGGTCAAGTCGCAGCAATAACACTTTCGTACGCAAACAACGCGGAAGTCCCGGGCGTGTTACCGAAGTTTGCCCTTGCGTAGTCGCGTTTTAAACCATATTCCTTTTTTTTTTCCATACATCAGCTATC